AATATATAATATATAATATATAATATATATATAATATATAGATATTATATATATATATTAAACCCATGTGTAGAGCCATTTGCATGCACATTTAAAGATTTTCATTTTTGTTTTTGCGGACAAAAAAAAAGAACTTCATTGGAGCGTTGGGGTGTACATACACCTCAGAGCCACCCGGAATTGCGAGAAAAGATTTGCTTTTCGCTTTATTTCATATTTATTTATTTATTTATTTATTTGTTTGTTTGTTTGTTTATTTATTTATTTGTATTAATGGAGACTTCATGGAGAGAGCCTGAGGGAAGAAGCCATGGGGCTGAGCTGTACAGACACCTCAGGCGACGCGTCTTTGCCTGCAGATCGAAAACAGAAAAAGGAAAACGACTTTTCCACTTTTAATTTATATTTCTTTTTCTACCTTTTAGCAAAATATCCTTTAATGAAAAAGAAAAACTTTTATAAATGCTTTTATTGAAAATGCGTTTTCCAAAAGTGTTCATTTCCACTTTTTGAGGTGTACGTACACCCCGCGGTGCCCCTTAAACCAATTTTTCCCTTTTTTGAAAATTCATTTTTTTCAGTCTTAGATTTTTAATTAAAACGCATGCATGCGATTAAATGGAAGGTCTAATTGTATTTCTTTTTAATTCAAATCAAGAATAAAAAAAAAATAAAACAAACAAACCCTTTTCTGAAAACTGCAAAGAAGAGCTGCTACTCCTTTTCGCTTTGCTGCTCAGCAAAGGGTTTAGCACTCCAGGGGTGGGCGCAGCTTTAAACACTTTGTTGTAGTTGCGGTCCCTGCGCGCAAACCCTAAACCCTAAACCCTAAACCCTAAACCCTAAACTCTGAACGCTAAACCGCTTCAAAACGCTCACTGGATTATCAGCTCCAACTTGAGGCGACGAATTTGCTCTTCCCGGTGAGCAAGGACGGCCTAGACGCAAACCCTAAACCCCAAACCCTAAACCCTAAACCCTAAACCCTAATCCCTGAATCCCAAACCCTAAACCCTAAACGGTAAGCCTGGAAAAAAACATCCCGGACTCCTACTTGTTCCCCTGGGTTCTCTGCTGCAGCGCGTCTTTGAGCCCTAAACCCTACACAGTAAACCCTAAACCCTAAACCCTAAACTCTCGTTTACGTTAGATTCCTTTAGCGACTTTTGGAGGGTTTGTATTGCTTCTACATCTTCTTGCCTAGCTTCTCTGTTGCTGATTAACTTCTGCTGCTTTTCAATTTTCTCCTTTAGCTGCTGCAGCTGCAGCTGCAGCAGCTCTGTTGCTGCTTGGTGCTCCTTCTCGGCTTCTGCTGCTGCTGCCTCGTGCTGCCTCTGCAGCAAAACGGACACACATACCCAAACCCTAAACCCTTAACCCTAAACCCTAAAAGCCCTAAACCCTCGTTCAACGGGATTCAGCAGGTCCATTCGTGGTAGTCACATTGCCTAAAGTAGCGCTGCAACAGTGCAACCGCTACTGCTGCATTTGCTGCAGCAGCAGCAGCTGCTGCTGCTGCTGCTGCGCTTGCTGCTGCAGCTGTTGCTGCTGCTGCTGCTGCTGCACCTGCAGTGTTTGCTGGTTGAACTGCATGAGAAGCTCCATTGCGCTTTCTCTTTGTTTGATTTCTTTTTCTTTTTCTTCTGACTCTTCTTTGTGTCTTTCTGTTGCTGCTGCGAGAGCAGCAGCAGCAAAACGCTCGCGGTCTTCTGCTGCTGCCAAGGCCCCCAGCAGCTGCTGCACCTCTCCGTGACTTTTCTCCATTTCCTAAACTCGCCGCAGAGCCAGGGTTTAGGGTTTAGGGTTTAGGGTTTGGGGTTTGGGCATTACGACTGCGTTTAAGGTGTAGGGTTTAGGGTTTAGGGCTTAGGGTTTAGGGTTTTGGTTTAACCTCCTGGGTGGTTTTAAGTTGCTGCTGCAGCTCAGCGGCCCGATCTGTGGCTGCTTTGAGCTCTGCTGCTGCTGCTGCTGCTGCTGCTGCTGCTTCTGCTGCCATCCTCTCCTCAATTGCTGCTGCTACTCTTTTCCCCTTCTCTTCTATTTCTTGCTGCTGTGATCGGTGGTTGCACAACACAGCTTGCAGCTGCAGCAGAGCAGAAGGAAAGCGAGGGTTTAGGGTTTAAGGAAAAGGGCTTACCGAATAGGGTTTAGGGTTTAGGGCTTAGGGTTTAGGGTTCAGGGTCTAGGCTAGGGTTTAAGTCAACAGCGCAGCGAGTTAAAAGCTTTGAAGGGCCTGGGATGTATGGCTTTTGTTTGTGGGTTTACGCTTTAGGGTTTAGGGTTTAGGGTTTAGGGTTTAAGACCTGCGCTGTGTGGCAAGCCAGCAGCTCAGCCTTAAGGGCTTTTTTTTCGTTTTCTTTTGTTTGCTGCGCCTCTTCAAGTGCTTCTTCATGTTGCAGCTTCAGTGCTGCTTGTTCTGCTGCTGCTGCTGCTGCTGCTGCAGCAGCAGCAGCAGCAAGAGCCTGCTGCTTTTCTTCCTCGAGTGCTGCCTTCTGTCTCTCGAGCTGCTGCTGCAGATTTGCTGCTGCTGCTGCTGCTCTCTCTTCTTCAGCAGCAAGCTGAGTCTTCACGCTGCTCAGCTCTTGCTGGAGCGCTTCGTCCTGCAGCAGCAACAGCAGCAGCAGCAGCAGCAGCAGCAGCAGAAGCAGCAGCATGACTCAACGTGGGTTGCACTGCCCCACAGCATCAGATCGTGCTGCTTGCTCTGACCCACTGCCAGCCAAAGCCGCAGCAGCAGCAGTAGCAGCAGCAACAGCAGCAGCAGCAGCAACAAGCGTGTGACCTGCTGTTGGAGCGTGTTAAAATTGCTTAGCAGCTCCTCATATTTAGCATTTGTTTCCTGCTGCTGCTGCTGCTGCTGCTGCAGCTGCAGCCTGAGGGTTTGCTCTGTCCCCCAAGCTTCTTGGGCTTCTTTTTCGAAGCGCATTTTCAAGTTGCTGTTTTGCTGCTGCAGTGCTGCTGTTTGTTGCTGCTGCTGCTGAAGCTGCAACAGCAAATGCTTCACGCGGCTGGCGCTTTCCTGCAGCCACAAGCAAAAGAACTAATAAAATTATTTGTTTTTTTGCGTCCCTACTTGGCCTGATGATTAGACATTTTCCTATTTCTGCTGCTGCTCCTGCTGGTGCTGGTGCTGCTGCTGTTCTTCTCTTGCGCGCTTAATGGCTTTCAATTCATCTTTTGCTTCTTTCATTTCTTTTTCTTTTTCGTTTAATTTTGCTTCCAACTGCTGCGCAGCTGCAGCAGCTGCTTCCATTTTTCTGCAGCGCACAAGAAACCCTAAACCCTAAACCCTAAACCCTAAACCCTAAGCCCTCAGCCCTTGCCCTCAATTTTAAACCCTTGAACTCTCACACTGGGTAATAAACACTATTAGCGGTTATAGGGGGAAAGGAATCTCAGAGTGCTTCGTCCTAGAGTTTGGTGGTTAGGGTTTAGGGTTTAGGGTTTAGGGTTTAGGGTTTAGGGTTTAGTGTTTGCGTGCGTTTTGAGCGTCTCCACCAGAAGCGAATTCTTTAGGCGCTGGGCCTCCGCCTCTTCCAGTCGTTCTTTGAGCTGCGTCTCAAACAGCAGAGCCTCCAAAGGGTTTAGGGTTTAGGGTTTAGGGTTTAGGATTTAGGGTTAGGACTTAGGGTTTAGGGTTTAGGGTTTAGAGGCGCCTTGCTTAGTGCTACGGCACTTTGTGCCTCCTCTTGTGCTGCTGCCCGCTGGCAACGGTTTAGGGCTTAGGGTTTAGGGTTAGAGTTTAGCGTTTAGGGGTAGGGTTTAGGGTTTAGGGTTTAGGGTTTAGGTTTTAGCGGCACCTTGCTTAGGGCCGAAGCACTTTGCGCTTCTTTTTCTGCTGCTGCTCTCTTTGCCGAAGCCATTATTTCTTCCATGCGGCCTTCAAGCCGGCTTTCCTGCAAACCCCAAACCCTAAACCCTAAACGCTAAACCCTAAACCCTAAACCCTAAACCCTAAACCCTAAACCCTAAACCCTAAACCCTAAACCCTAAACCCTTGAGTCTCACAACTTCCAGCAGCTTGCTTCTGCAGATCTCTTCTTTTTCTTTTGCTTCTTTTTCTGCATTTTTTGCGTCTTGAAGCTGCGAGGAATCCCAGTCACAACGAGCGCGTTAACTAGGATTTAGGGTTTAGGGTTTAGGGTTTAGGGTTTGGGGTTTACCTCGCGCTGCAGGTCCTGCGCGAGGGTTTGGGCCTGCTGCAGCTGCTGCTGCTGCTGCTGCAGCAAACCCTCGAATTTCTCTTCAGTTTTTTTTTGTCTTTCCGCGCTGCTCAAAGCTGCTGCTTCCAGCAGCCCTAAATGAAAATAAATAAAAATAATTTAATTTAATTTAATTTAATTAATTATTTAATTTAATTTAATTTAATTCAATTTACTTTAATTTAATTTAATTTAATTTAATTATTTCATTATTTGCGTTTTCATGTCTTATTTGCTCAGCAGCAAGTAAGTACCGGGCCCGCAGACACAGAACAAAGAAAACACCTAAAACCTAAACCCTAAACCCCAAACCCCAAACGCTAAACCCTAAACCTTAAACTGTAAGGTGTCTGTCGCCGAATGAGTGTTTGTTTGTGGGCGTAAGAGGGGTTTCTCTGCGTGGCGGTTTTCCCAGGGTTTAGGGTTTAGGGTTTAGGGTTTGGGGTTTGGGGACCTTGCATGGCGTTGCACTTGTGAATTAGGGTTTGGAGCTGCTGCTCCTTCTCCAAACCCTCGCTTTCTAACTTCCCAATTAATTTGTTAAAACCCTCAGCAGCAGCTCGCAGGGTTTAGGGTTTAGGGTTTAGGGTTTGGGGTTTGGGGACCTTGCATGGCGTTGCACTTGTGAATTAGGGTTTGGAGCTGCTGCTCCTTCTCCAAACCCTCGCTTTCTAACTTCCCAATTAATTTGTTAAAACCCTCAGCAGCAGCTCGCAGGGTTTAGGGTTTAGGGTTTAGGGTTTGGGGTTTGGGGACCTTGCATGGCGTTGCACTTGTGAATTAGGGTTTGGAGCTGCTGCTCCTTCTCCAAACCCTCGCTTTCTAACTTCCCAATTAATTTGTTAAAACCCTCAGCAGCAGCTCGCAGGGTTTAGGGTTTAGGGTTTAGGGTTTGGGGTTTGGGGACCTTGCATGGCGTTGCACTTGTGAATTAGGGTTTGGAGCTGCTGCTCCTTCTCCAAACCCTCGCTTTCTAACTTCCCAATTAATTTGTTAAAACCCTCAGCAGCAGCTCGCAGGGTTTAGGGTTTAGGGTTTAGGGTTTGGGGTTTGGGGACCTTGCATGGCGTTGCACTTGTGAATTAGGGTTTGGAGCTGCTGCTCCTTCTCCAAACCCTCGCTTTCTAACTTCCCAATTAATTTGTTAAAACCCTCAGCAGCAGCTCGCAGGGTTTAGGGTTTAGGGTTTAGGGTTTGGGGTTTGGGGACCTTGCATGGCGTTGCACTTGTGAATTAGGGTTTGGAGCTGCTGCTCCTTCTCCAAACCCTCGCTTTCTAACTTCCCAATTAATTTGTTAAAAC